TACTCTGAATGCAAGCTAACGAAAACAATATTAAACCATGTTCAAAGACAGAGAGATACATTAATAATTAGCAAGTCCTTGGAAGAAATGATAGGTATTAGTTCAGTGGCAGTAGTAAGGTTAACTGGGTCATATACGTATCCATATGGCTCTGTCCAAACTATCAGATGTAAACTGTTGAATGCCCATATATAGTCATGATGTGCCTATATATGGTCATGATGTGATGTGTATCTGTTGTTCCAGTTCTAGCATAAGCAAAGTAACACCCTGGTTATAATTAGATGGACATGTGAGGGAGCTTTTCGAAGGCTTTATAAAAGCCATCATGATTTAGATAAGGAAAAAAAAAATTTTTCCAGCTGTGAATTTGATCAAGAGAATAGGAAATTCTAGATGAAATAAATAACAATTTGATTAGTGAAATTATTTAGTCATACTATTTTTAATAGTAGCAGTTAAAGTTTTTTTGTTTTTTTTTGGTGTAAATCTATTGTTATATCTGCTGAAAGGAAAAGGTCTGTGTTTATACATGTATGACAAAATAGGATATTTTACATTTTATATAATTTACAATATTTCATATGTATCATAATATTTTTCTCTACTCTACTTTATTAATTTTGGAATATTGTAATATGGTTATATGTAAAGATCGAGTAATCGAGTGTATCTGGTGGTATTTGAATCTGTTCAACCATGAAGCCTCCGTGGTCTAATGGTTATGACGCTTGCCTTGACAGCGAGAGGTCGCAGGTTCGAGTCCCGCCAGAGGCATTTTATTACACAATTTCTTTATTCATTTATTTACAGGACTACATTCGTTGAGAGCTATTTAGGTGAATTTACTCCCTATGGCTCTTTCCCACCACTAAAATTCTGATACTTAATACATATAAATTTATGGTAAGCATAAAAATATATGTAAATATAAAATGAATATTGTGTACACATTTTGCCTCAGTGAATTAATTGATTAGGCAATTTGATATGGCACACAGTTAGTGATATATGTATGTTTATTCTATCTTGGTATTGTGTAACAATGCATGAATACATCTACTATGATTGCCTGTAATGAATTATAGTATTATCATAACTCATAATCATCTTAGGTGAGCAGAGAGGATGATGGTATAGGACGTCGGCTTTGCCTATAATCACTATCTGGAGATGTTTATTATGTGTGCCTTTGAAATTGCAGAGGAATGGTGAGGTGGCGTTTAAGTTTACTAAGTTATAATTTTTTTTTTATCACATCAGGTTGCTATTGGTTTAGTTTATCTGTGCCTTAATAGTTTTGATTTTCATGCCTTTTCTTATTTCAATAATATATAATGCTTGTATTCTTTTAGAAAAGACACTCTCTAATGTTTATGAAATAGCCTTCTACAAATGCCATGTATTATTATTATTACGTTGTTAAGAGTAGTAAGGAATATTATTAGATGTTGGTAAAAGTATAAACATGGGCAGAATACTAATAAACCTACAGTATAGTTACAATTCAGTATGGATATTACAGAAGCTATAAAATAGCATAAGAAATATTTGTTATTTCATAAGCGAGTCTCTTACACTAATTTTTCTTCAAATGAGCCTTGTATAGCGAGCGTAATTACAATTAATCGCTGCTACGGTATATCTAAGAGGCATACCAATAAAAACTTTGGTTCCCCTCTCTCCCACTCAAGATTTTCAGAGCACAACAATTACATTTTTGTATTTACAAATCACATCATATTACCTAATTTTTCATTCTTAATCTTCGGGGATCCTACTTAATCTTTCCTCCTCAGATTAGCCCTCTTGTCAATACTAATAGATACGCTGTTGTGTACAATATAACCTCGAGAAGTAATTATTATCTTCCTCATATATTGTTTCAATGTGTGGGTGTCCAGAATGTGAGGTCGTAGATGACTTCTCCTTATCACACTTTGCAAGGTGAGGAAAAAAACTAGTAATATAGATAACTCTTTCATAATATTAGGTCTCAACACACCTTATGATCTTGCACGATAATTAAATATTATTATAATAAATAATATTAATAATTATAATAATATTGATAATTGAAAAAAAAAATTGTTTGGATCTGCTGAATAGTATTTTTGAATGTTTGTTCTTTTTCAATGATCCAAAAATACATACATATATTTTTGTGATTGTTTATTACAACATTTTATAATGTGGTAATCAATAAAACCATTAAAAAAAAATTGTAACCTATTCTTTTTAGGGTTTTATGATCGAATCCTTGAGACATCATAATTTTCATAAACCGCCAACTATTTTAATAGAAAAAAATTCTAGTAAACTGCTTATTGAAAATCATTAACTTAATACTGCCCTCTTTGTTGTAGTCCTTGATTTTCAGTGTCTTGTTATGTATTTAAGCATTACTGTACCAGTATTGTTGACTACACACTGATGGATGTTTACCTCGTATTGACAAGATCATTGTTGCCTTAATGAGTTCCCGTTTCCGCGGATAGATAATTAGGACAAAGTTCACATGCCAGTAAGGTTTTTGTTTCCGCTCGGATTGTCAATACACTTGCTCAGAAATGGATTACGAACTATGATGGTTCTCTACTTACTACAGATATCTTAGTAATTTTTTCACTGATCAGCTGTTTAAAAGAAGTGTTGGTTGGATACAGGTAACATCATTGAATAAATGGTCAATTAATTTCATTACTAATGCGAAGTTCATCGTATTTACCTTGGATTGTTTACGGGTATTAAGATTCTACCGATATTTGATAGTGAGTGAAGTGGTATACTGTACTATACTAACTATAATTTGTTTAATAATTTATATACCTAAAGTCATGCCATGTATTATGCATGTTAATGCAAGGATTGTTATTCAATCTGAATTGTGTCTGGAATCTGGATAAGTGATTTTTACATTATTGCTGATAAATTTGGAGAGAATTAAAGAATTTGTTAGTATTTGTGCTAACGAAAGGTGTTAAAATGGTAGATTCGACTTTGACTTTCAGGTTTGAAGGGGTTGTTTCCTTGTTAACTGTGTAATTGTGTGGAATATAATTGGAAGGTACTCTATAATATAGAGAGTATCCAATACAAAGCAGTGTCTTGTGGATGCATTTTTTAAATGTGTCCATACTACTAAAGGAATGTTTTGTGTTTTTCTGTGTCCACCAAATATCTCCGAAAGTATTTCAAGTACGATTATGATTTCCAAAATGTTGTACCTACCACCAACAGGACGAACATCCGCTACATTAGGACTCGATTTTATTATCCTTCATGTGTTTTTTCGGTAAAATTAACACATTTTCTTGATGATTACTTCCAAATCTCAAAACTGTTCTGACGTCATTGTGCCATGCACCCGATCTAATACCATAACACCTCGAAGTGAAGCACTGGGCTTGATTTGAAAACATCAATCTGTATCATGGAGTGTATTTAACTGGCATTAAACCACCTAAACTACTGTATAAACCAAGCTTTGTTTTTATTTTATTTTGTTTTCTAAAATTCATGTACAGTGGATAGGCTTCTCAAAAAGAAGCCTATGCTATCTTGAAAAAAATGCCCATGGGCTTCTTTTCGAGATTGGCTTTGTTTCGAGGCTAATTTTGCAAACTAAAGAGGGAGCTTAAATTTGAGATGGACTCCATCTCGAGATTAAGCCCACTGGGCTTCAATTGGTATGCATGTTACAAGTCCCACAAGCACACATTCATATCCATATATATTCCGAGACAATACCACAACACTGCATTCAAACAACGAACATGTTAACATGTTGTTACTGCATATAATGCATTTTCACATGTAAGAGGGTACTGTACTCAAATGTATTATCAAAGTGGACAATTCCTCACAAGGACTATTTGGCAGACACACACAAAACATTATCTACAAAGAGGTCCTTTAGAAAAAATAATGACAAGGTAACTATAACATCCTCGATGATTGCCTCCTCAACTTCCAATAACATTTAACTGTATGCCTCACCAATTTTTAACACTCATTTAACAACGTGCAGGTATATGTTAGTAAAAGTAATTTTGTTTTAACTGTGAAGGTTTGTTTACCTTTGTTTTTGAGGGATAATCTAAAGTTTGTATATTTGAACTATTTTAAAATTATTTTTAAACTATCTTTTACAAGATAAAAATTTAAAAGGTATATATATATACTGATATTATTAGATATTGTTACTGCTTTTGATAAAATAATTATAATTTTTTTTTTATTGATTTGATTAGGAAATTAAAAGTAGATTATGAAGTAAATTAAATTAATTGTTACCAGAATAGTAATGAACTTTATAATTGTACTACCTGTAATTGACCTAACTGATTACGTTTCTTTCGTTTCATTACCTTGTTCATATGAAAGTCTAACCTTCATTTTCCAAGGCCATTTCTTTATATTATGTTCTCGCTGTTCATTGGGTCTAGGCCTAGTGAATCCAATATTTGACAGAAAAGTTCATTAGCAGTCTGGTAACAATGCAATTTAATTCAATCCATAATCTATGTACAATTTGATTGTGATAATTAAGTTCCTGCTAAGGATGTACTGAAGCCCTGGATGATAAAGTTAAAATGTCGTCAATACCTCTTTGGGCCAAATAACTGAAAGAGAATCACCATAATGTGCCTGATGCCTATATTACAAATGTAAAAAAGCTGTGTTAGTCTGGTAGGTGTATAAAAACACTGGTAGCATTTTATAAACTAACTTAAATTATTTATTACACAAGCTTTAGCTAGCACTATGTGCTGGGTTTATCGGGTGCAGTAAAGTAGAACAAAGACGTGGTGAAATTTACAGAACAAATCATCTCATTACAGTAATTGGTTTGCTTGTTCTTAAAAAAATATTAAACAGTAAGCATTTGTATTATCTGTAGTCATTTTTTTCTTATGATTATTTTAGTGGTTTAAACACATAGTTTTCTATTGTGACAAAATTCTTAACTTTTTTCTTTCTTTTTTTTTAAATTTCAGGTTGCAGACACTTCAACAATGTTAGCTTGGATAACCGCCATCCAGGCCAACAATAATCCTGATGATGATGTAAGTACAATTCAAAATTTTGTCTATAAATCTGTTATCACCTCAACTCAAATGCAACAAGGAATTCACACTGTTAATTTCAAACTGTTTCATTGTCATAGAAAATCAACTTCCCTATAATTTCTTTGGTATCCACACAAGTGAAAAACCATTAATTTAGTTGTATGTGATAAAATTTTAAAGTAAATATAAATTATGTATTTTTCAATTCTACAAATCTGTTTGTTATCTTGCTTGAAAATAGAAGGGAGTGGTTAGCCAAGAATTGATACTTCGCAAAACTCAACAGCACCAAGAGAAATTTGATGCCCAGGCCTTAGCAATACCACCAGAGAAGAAGCAGCAGTTGTCTCCAGGATCCATACGAAGGAAGTTTGGTGGAAGGAGTTCCTCTCCAACGCTGCAACATCATACATCCAAGAAGCCGGTTACTAAAGGTATGGTTGTAGGACGTACACAATGAAATATTTTTCTTTATCCACAATTAATCGACTAATTATCAGAAATTATACATTATTATGCTTCTTATTTGTACTGAAATGCAAGTTTCAACACAACATACGTCATCGTCTTTTCAATGAGAGGTTTGAGCTGTTGGTCCATGTGGATGATAAAGTATGCATGGCATTCTTTGAAAAACAGTAGAGGGTTGTCTTCCGGAGTGCACAATTCACCACCAGACTTTTATAGGTTATCCTTTGTGTATTTTATACCAAAGAAATCCAATGCTATTGTAAGAAATGGATTGCTTACTTGGAACATTTGATATCTATCAGAGGTCTTTATCAACAGGGCATGACATCATTAGGTGATTACACCTTACGCTCTCTCAGGTTGTAGATTGGAGGCTGTGACAGCCCTGATAATGTGAGGATGCTATTAAATCATTGTAGAGGTTAGAGATGTGCCTTTATCCCACCTGGTTTATCTTTTTTCATATATCTGTAATGACTGTTTGGCCTTTCTTTAGTGTCAAACCAGGAATTCCAGAGGTCATCAGATGTGTTCCTGGTGTATTGCCAAATACACACCAGAAGCACCTCACCTTTGGAAAAAGGTGCCATACAAATTTTGATGTCAGTAGTCAGTAATAGTTGGTATAAATGCCTATTTTTCACCCAAAATTTTCAGGATGATTAAACTCAATGTTAAACTTTTAAATGATTGGTTAGAGAATGTCACGTAGCAAGTTCTGCTAGCGTAACCGCTGCTAAGCCAGTAACTAGTGAAAGTAGGGCAGGAATGCTATGAACGCTTCACACAAAGCTCATCTAACGATGTGTTAATCCCAAGGATTACGCAACCTCTTGTCCAAGTTGTTTTATCTGATTTATGTATTGTATGCTATGGTACTGACATGAGTCGTATTTCTTATTCTTTTTTTCTTTCTGTTTGTAACAAACAGAACTGAATGGTAACAGGAAGTGTTGTTATTAAAGTAAATACTTGAAATAAGTATATTATTGAAGATCATATATTCAATCACTCATTTTCTTTCAATAGTAACTTAATTTGCATATATTATTTACATAACAATAAATCATTGTGGAGGAATACGTCATTAATGACGTATGAGTTCAACTTTTCATATTTATTAATTAATTTGTATATGTCACTTTGATTGATTGTTGCCAGAATTTAACACAAGCAAAATTACAAGAACACATAATAAAAATGTAAAATTATGCATTGCATTTAATTTATGTATTTATAATGAACTCTGGTCCTATATTCTTTGTAATTCTATAATTCCTGAAAGCTTCATTATAAATATTATTACTAGAATAATTATATACTTTTTAAAATTGGTAATATCAAATTATATTTCAAGAATATACAATAACTTGTTTCCACAATGGTTATTAAAATAATGAATCATATTTTTAGAAAAATATTTACATATTTCCAGAATTAAATTTACATAGTAATATTATACTTATTTTTAATTATAAAATACTTGGGTGCTTAAGGTGAACAATAATTGTTAATCTTTCTTATACCAAGACCCTTACGTATGATGAATTATTAAGTAAATGTGGCAAAGACAAGCCAAACCAGTCACTCGTCGCAAAAATCGATTTTGAGTTATTAATACAGTGTTAGAGAGTAAAATAATAGCTATAAAATGGTAAAGAAATCATTCAAATCGGACATTCCCTTATGAAGTTACAAGCGTTTAAGCACACAGCTGTTTAAAAAACAATATATGAGAAATTAGCCGTCAAAGTTTATGATTTCAGGCATTTCTCATGCAGAAACTATCTTTAAATCCTTAAAAAGTATTATTTTAACATTGAAAATGGGGAAAATAACAGCATAGAATGATGTGTAGATATATAAAGGTTAGTTTAGTGCAATAAAATAGATTTTTTCCAGCATTCCAGCATGTTTTGGCCATTTTCTCTGAAACACGATTTGCGACGAGTGACTGGTTTGGCTTGTCTTTGCCACAAATATTTCAAATTATTTTTAATGATAATACAAAAAAGAAAAATGTTCTGCATTGTATTTTTTTGTTTTATTTATTTCTTGCAGAAGATTCAGTGGCACGAAGCAAACCAAATCAGAAATGGGCCGGTAAAATGGTGCACAAGTTTAAAAAGATCAGTTCAGCAAACCAGTTGATAGAGGACGCCCCCACTAAGGGTTTAACATTTGCTGTTCCTTTAGAAGAGTGCCCCCTATCACAATTTACAGAGGTAAGTTCATTTTATTTCATTTATTTTTCCGTATACAATAAGTTATCAGGGAACTGGGAAATAGAAGGAAACCAGAACAATTTGCTGTCAAAATATCATGCACAAAATGTGTACAGTATTTACAGATGACTATATATTTGTTGCATCTTGTACACAAAATACTTGACCTTATTGCATTGTCTTTCAACCATCTGTTTCAAATATTTTTCAGCATTAAATATGGTATTTCTGCCTTTGAATCCAGGCAGCTATACACATTGGCAGCAGAAAATTTCAAGGTTTGGGTAGTGGGACACTGATGCTAAAAGTCTTACCAGAAATAGGATGGTTGCAATAATGTATGAATATGTGCTGATAGCATACTGTATGCCTGACTTCAGACATATTTGATCAAACATAAATGTCTGTTCATGGCTCTTTCATATTGGATAATTCTTATTTTCAAATCAATGAAAATCTGTATGCTTGAGTTATGTGTACTACAGTATGTTTACAAAATGAACTAAAATATAGAATAATCTATACAATATCCAGCTTTAGTCATGCATTCTCAACATATCATCTGTTCTTCATATTTCCTGTCTCAGAAATGTTTTCCAAAAACATTCCTTTGTTTTTCTAATTCTAAATTTAAATTTGATAAATCACACTTGGTTTATTTGACTACATCAATTTCAATTTTAATTGCCTTCATATTTCCTATACAACCTTTCTTGCCAACTTATTTTTATCCATGTCAGGCATAAAGAGAAGTTTATAATTGTAGAAAGTGGCAGCCTAGCATGGGTTCTTTAGGGAGTGTCTGAAATAACCTAACTATCTGCTTGTGAATAATTTTGGACTAGGGTGAATTTAATGAAGAAATCTGGCTCTAGAGCCCTCTCAGGGCAGACGGTCTGGCAACTTATGTTTACCAACCTGCATAATTTCATGGCAAACAAATAATTATTTCAATAATATTGCCGTAAAATAATGCTTTTCTGTATGAATTTACTCGCTGTTATTTCCATATTAGACCAATAAGATTGGTACCACATACCCATAATATGCGCACACTCCCCATTAATACGAACAATTACAAAAATGTAGCCTGCTTTCAGACACATGTTGACACTAATGTTGTGGTAATATTACTACACTACATTACCACAATATTGTAGCCAGATCTGACCTTTTCGCACCGACGGCAATTGACAGAAATATTCCTGCAATATTGCTGTAATGCTCTGTCTGAAAGGTGTCTGATATTATCAGTACATAAGAAATACAATATGTAAATTACTAATGTAAAGAGATTCAAATGGACAGATCGTACAATATGGCTACCACTGTAAATTTTCATTTTGAGGTGTCTTCTGAGAACATTTTACATTTACTTAATTGCTGTGAGGGTGACAAGTAATTTTTCTTGCATTGTGGTAGGCCTACTGTATCCTAAAACTCATATCTCTTGAAATGTGGTACTAGTAGTCCACCACTTAATTCTTGAAATGGAATTAATTTTATATCATGACTGACTGCTCATTTTCTTTTTTTTTTTCATTTCATAGTATGTTCCAGCCGTAGTGTTTGCATGCTGCACGATTATAGAGGAAAGGGGACTTGATACGATTGGAATTTACCGAGTACCTGGGAATAATGCAGGAGTTTCTCTACTGAAGGATTACCTTGATCAGGGACATGGGATTCATCTGGAGGATGAGGTGAGTATCTCATTAGAAATGTATGGTAACGCTTTGAGCTTCCAACTGAATGGTTGTGAGTTCTAGGTGAATGCTAGCAAGGTTGTTCATGTTCTTTTGAAAGGCACTCATAAGTTGTAAATGATAATGGTCCCGTGCTGGATTATCTACTACTAGGAATATTACCTTTGGAGTGGAGGAGGAGGTTGCTCTTGAAGCACGATTGTTTGGTTGACCTCGAAATTAGCACATTAAATAAATATTTGGTTATTAGTGTTATTACTGTACTCGCGTGAATAAGCGCCCCGTTAGAATAAACGCCCCTCCTAAAGGAAAAATTGTCTTAAGCGCCCCGTTTGAATAAGCGCCCCTCAATTCCTAAAAAAATTCAATCATACGGTACAGTACACCACCAACTTAATTTTCTGCATCAACTTTTATTTATTTATTCTGGTATAAAAATAATACAAAAAGTAGCCAAAGGCTAAAATCATTGCATTCACAAAAATATATAGGCCAAAATTACAAATTATGAAATTGCACAAAAACATTAACATTAAACATATTTACAAGAATGAATATTTACAAATTACATTAAAAGATTACATAAAAAAAAAATAAAGAAAAATAATAATAGTTATCCTAAGCAGTTTGTTTGTAAATACCCCCAACATTTATGAGCCATGCTGTCTCGACGATTACATTTTTCTCACCAAAACCTTTCGTTTATCTTTGATTAAAAAATGTGCCCCTTGAATTTTCCAATTTCCCATAAGCACCGGCCTTCAATTTTCATCTATTTCCATAAGCCCCTCCTCAAATTCCACTCTGTTTGAATAAACAGTTACAGCGCCAACACTTACCCAATTTCAAACTTTGGCATTGCCAGTACTGAGGGAGTTGCTTCTTACAGCATCCCACAAACAGTTTTAGCGATTGAAATATTTTCCAATTTTACTTGCACTCTTAAATCACTTGTAAATTAACTTACACTGACTGGTTTTGCGAGCACCAAACAGCACACTCCACAGCACGAAACTTCCTAGGACAAGCAAGATGCTTTTTAAGGAAAGGAGTATTTAACTCAAGACTCAAGACACCCCTCAAAAACAGCCAAAAGTATTTTAAGTGCCCGGGCGCTTATTCGCGCGAGTACGGTATAAGTTATACTGATAAGTATGATCATAAATAAGTATATCCATCTGATCAGGTACATGATATTCATGTATTTAATGTAACGTTTCTTCTATTTTTCTTTGTTATTAACCTCCAGCGATGGCATGATGTTCATGTGATAAGCAGTTTGTTGAAACTATTCTTCCGGAAGCTTCCACATCCTATTATTCCTAGACTCCATTATAAGCAATTTATTGAAGCAAATCGCACCAAAGAGCCAGTCGCGCGTATGTGGGCCCTACGCCAGCAGATCCAAGAACTACCTGTCTACCACTACCAAACGTTCAGATTCATGGCGTACCACCTGAAAACTGTTGCTGCAAACAACGAAGTGAACAAGATGGAAGCAAGAAATCTTGCGATTGTGTTTGGACCCACTTTAATCAAATCGCCTGACGACAGCATGATGACGATGGTTACAGACATGTCCGATCAGTGTCGCATAGTAGAGACTGTGATCCTTCACTGTGATTGGTTCTTTTGTGATGACACCGACAGTCAAGAGATGCTATCCGTTGATATGTTGCCAGCTTCAGAGGGGGTCCAGGGTGTACCTGATGTGAATCTCTTGTTGAGCAAGATGAGAAAAGAAGATGGATCAGGTAAGGCATTAGATATGTGTGATTGGTTATTCACTTAAGGTTAATTAAGACAAATTAAATATTGTGTATTACATACCTCATACATAGACTCTAGGTATCTGATTGGTTAAGAAGCGGACAGTAGAAAGTACTATTCCCCTGAAAAATAGTACTTTTTTGCCCTGGCGCATGTGCAAACTCTAGGCCCACCTAACATCGAGCTGACTCTAAAGGGGACTGTGACCTCTACGACGATAGAGATTGGCCCTTGACTGCACCACGGATCTGCAAGTAGATGATAAACAAATATTGAGGCTGGCCTAGTTGGTTTGAGCTGCTGGATGAAGAAGGACTAGCCTAGGCCTAGCATTACTTCTTGATGAAGCCGATAGCAAAAGTCTTAACAGCTAAATTAATAATGTTTTGTCAATATTCTACAAATATTGCAAGACGATGGCTGCTGTTGAAATTAGGGAAATGAGCAAAGAAGCGCTAGACACACTCTTTGATCGTCTAGGCTAGGCCTAGTGTGTAGGCCTCTAGGCTAGATTAGGAAGTAAGTACTTTCTAGGTCTCGTAGAAGGTATATAAAACAAATATTGACTGCTCTAGATTCGGGGAATGGTGAAATCTATTGGCCCTTGGTGATGTGGAGACCGGAGCCTATCTTCTCTCGGGCCTTTGGCCCTCTGCTAGATAGGCTACGGTCTCCACATCACCTTGGGGCAATAGATTTCACCATTCCCCTCATGAGCAGTCAATAGTATTTGTATAATGTCAGGGGTCCCAAGTTGGAAGAAGTCACTTCCACAAGATATGTTAAAAACAGCTTTGACACATCTAATTTTATTTTTATGTGGTATGTTGATACCCATCAGTACTGACTTCTGGAAGACAATTGATACAGTGTAGTAATAACATGAAATATTGTAAAGTTGCGGAAGATGGGTTATTTTCCGGGAGATTCTTATTTGCTTGCAAGAGTGCAGCAGGCCTTCCCAATTTTTGGGAGACCCCACAAATTGCAGGAGACTTGGGAGCGCTGTAATGAGTATCAGAAATTGATTCAAGCTGTAGCTTGGTGATTAAGATGTTTGCCTTCTAATCTTAAGGTCCTGGGTTCAAATTCAGTGCTTTACGAGGATTTTTTAAAAATATAATTTAAAACAACTAAACAATTATGCAAAGTGGAAGTATACATGTTTAGATGATTATACTAACCCTGTGCTCAATCTAACATTTTTTTTGCTTAGCCAATTGGCTAAAGTCAACAATTTTTTTTAGCCAATTGAATTGAAGCTGTCTTAAGCCAAAATTTGATGAAAATTGTTAAAAATCATTAGCCAAAACTTGCCAACAAGACATGGTGTCCAACATGTTCGACAGTGGAGTCCGAACCAAGGAGCTGACTAGAGTCCTGCCTGGGCGGATCCAGAGGTGTACAAGTGGGAGTGGGAGGTGATCAAGACAACACTACTCTTGGGGGGTACTACAGTATTTTTCTCCCCCAAAAACTCGTTTTTGGGAGAATCAATTATTTCTTTTTTTACTTTCTAAAAAAAAGGGGAGGGGGTGGTTTCCCCACAATTGCCTCGATGAGTATACCAGAAAAAATCTCTGCTAGGTTCAGGGAGGTGGGAGAGATAACGCTATTTGATAGGCAAATTAATATTTTTAGCGCACCAATAAATGAGGTACTTTGAAAGTTTGCTAAATATTAAGGCCTATCATCACAAAAGTTGGAAAAATTATGTAGGCCTAGGCCTATACAGTATTTTCTTTTTAATTTTGAACGATATCAGGTGTGGGGAGCTAGCAGTAGTTTTACTAGACTACAGTATATTCAAAATTGGCTTGGGGTCTGATAGTCCACACCAGTTAGGCCCGATCGTCTGTCACCTGAAGTTGTCACCTCGATAATCAAGAGCGTACACGATCTAGGCCCTATTTAGGGTAGCCTTGCTTGCGAAATTACTCTTTCTACAACACAAGTACAGTACGTACACCGTGTAACAAAGCGACTCACGCGGTGCATTACTAAATGATTTCACACATTATTTAAATGTATTTGACGATAACACAAAATCACTGATTAAATTATTATTAACTATACTAGGATATAGGCCTACTGTTTGGACCACCATCACATCGCATCGGCCCTCTTGTTTTAGTGGAAAAACCCAAGCTAGTGTGGTACCTCATATTATTCTATGTCATAGAGCCACTGCCCTGCATCTACCACGTTAAAATAACAATTACTAATAAAAAATAACTTGCGAGGCACGCAATAACGTTTGCAACAACACTACTCATACAACAAAAATAAGCGTCGCATGGAGTTAGCGAAAAATGGAGCTCATTTCAAAAAAACGATGTATTTTAGCAAGTATTTAAAACTTTTTCGCCAAAATGGCTAAAGCAGTTTTTTTTTTCCCCAATCCAAAATTGTTTTTGCCCATGGCGATTTGGCGATCGGTTAGCATGAGCCCAGTAACCTCGTTACTGCAAATGAAACTAATGCCAAAACTGTAATGTTTGGTTCACCAGTACAAATAAATTTTGTTTATATCATATTACAAGTTTGTTTTTTGTTTGTTTTATGTTTTCCCAGGCGAGTCTGGTAGTGATTCTTCAAAAACAAAAGGCAGTAAAAAGTCCAGAAAACATCGTAAAGCAGCAACAGCTACAACAGAGGACAGTGATGGTGAATTTGGATTTTCAGACTTGACTGGTAGTCAGGAGGCACGCAGTCGGGCCATGCAATTACAAAAGGAGAGAAATGAATATACAGAACAATATGGTTCGACAGGGGATTTTATTTCGGGCAGTGTGCGCCCACGTGGAGGAGGAGGGGAAAGGATGATAATTCGCAAGGATAGTTATTCATCGGTGAAAAGTGCTGAAAGCTCAACTGATACTAGGTCTGCTAAAGAGAGTGAAGGATTGTCGGACAATGAAGAACCTGTTATGACTTACGCAGTAGCACGGGAACAATATCGTAAAAATCACTTGCCTTATTATACAAGACAACCTTCTTGGAGTCGTAGGAAACTATCGGATACGTCCGATAACAGCCAGGTTTCGATACCCAGGACAGGGGGCTTATTACGTAGTCAAGAGCCACATAGATCAGCGGGATGGATCAGTGGGGAGAATGAATGGAAGCAAATGTATGCCAGGGAGAGGGAGCGTATTGAAATGGAACATGCAATAGCGTTACAGGATTTACAAACAGAAGATAAAGTCGAGGTTGAAGACTTATATCGTGGAAAAGATTACTTGAAAGAAATCTCCGCTGTTTCAAACAAAATTATTTCTGGGTTTCCAGTACCGGATGATTTTGATGATGCTGCTGCATATCACATCCAAAGGAAAGCCCAGCCCGACACAACATCGGTGACATCAGACTACGGGACAATGTCATCAACCAAAACAACGGCAATGACTCCGGAACTGCGCCACAAAAGTGTGCGTGAACACAGGACTGCATCTCCTGCCTTAATGAAAAAATTGAGGGCGACAAACTCATTAGCAATGGGCGAATTGGACAGTGAATTTGTAAAAAGCATGACTGATCACTTTGATGAACGTTTGCGGAAATTATTAGATCCCGATTATGAAGAAAGTGACAGTGATTCCGGTCGTGAGGGTGGGAAGAAATCGCGTATCCCTCAACGATCGTGGGAGCATGAGTTTTATCGCAATGATTTGGGTAGAAACAATAACAATTCCTTCTCCACAGATAAGGCTATGAACCGCGAACAGCGTTTACTAGAAGCTAATAAGATTGCAATGTCAAAACCAACGTCATCTAGACCCCATCCAATCTATATTAAACAAAATAATAAAGAGAGTTTTCAAACACAGAGTGCTTCAAAGACACCATCATCGCCTCGTAAAGTCAGTCGCATCGAGGTAACTGTTACGATGGAAAAGCGTGATAAAATTAAACAGAGCCAAACACAGCCTTCAAGTAAAGAGACTGTAAAAGTTGATAACAAAGATAAAGTTTCGAAGCAGCTGAAAAGGCAATCGAAGGACACTTCCTCAATAAAACGGGATCGCAAGGACCAACGTGAAAACCGCCGTCGTCGCCACACTGTCGGTGGCAACAAAGATTTCCCGGATTTTAACAAAATTATGGAATATGCAAATCAGGAGAATACTAATGTCTCCAAACTCAGTGCAATGGACCAGTTGAAGCCTTCTACCCTAAAGCCAAAAGATTTGAGTACCTGGATTGAGCAAGAACGTTTACGGAACAGCAGCCCCAACTTGGCCAATACGGCGGCTGAAGAAAAGAAACGCAAGCGTCAAGAGAAGATCATGCGGCGGCGTAGCTCGCCAGCAGATCTTCTGGCCGCTAATTGGCTTAGCATCCCTAAGGCTGGCAAAGACGTTCGCCTTTTTGAAATTGAATCATATTTGTAGACTTCAGCTTATTTTTAATTCTTATTAACTAAATAAACAAATGGAATTTCAATTTGTATAACACAGAGATAATGTTTGCATATATTTCTAAGTTTATCTGTAAAGATTATTTTCACTTTCTAATAGACAGTGTGAGTACAGAACAAGTTTTGTACTGAATGTTTACAATGTTCTTAAATACCTGTTAATGAGGTAGAAATTAATCTGAGCCAGGATAATATTTTTAAATATGTAAATAATTTTAGTCATGTGTATAATCTTCATATTAAATTGTCAACATGTATGTCTTTACTGCACATACTGCAATGGATTGTGGGTGTGCAGGATCAGAATGACTGTTTTACCACCCATAATACATTGCAGTACACGTTGAGACATACACATGGCCTTACCCTGTCTTTTAAATGATACATCTTATAATACTCGACTTATCCTGATAGGAAAATATACACACTAAGCTATTTGCGATATTTTTGAAAAACTAAATTTTTCACGGAATGCCATTTTACCAATTTTTATTTTAAAATTTATTTTCCTGCTAATCAAAACTTTGATATAATTTACTTTGCTTCCTTTTTTTCCTTTTTTGTGGAAATTCTGAAGTGAAATGTAAAAAATTTAGAAGGCAATTTTTAAATTTGTGGTAAACCCGAACACTTTAAATTTAAATACAGTTCGCCCTCCATCTGGTTCGTCCACCATTGGAGTCTGAAAATACAGTATGATCTTGGGGTTTGGTTTCCAATTAGATGGTTAACTTTGTGTTCACTGTTGAAAGACTGATGGTTGTTTGTTGGTACTTTTAAAAACTGGTCTTGGAATTTAAGAGGACTCAAACAAATGAAAAGAATCTGCCTTTAATGCAAGGTTGCAATGTTATGTATTGGGATACATATAGTGTTTGGGTTATGCATATTCAGAAAAAAACAGTGGTTACAATAAAATTAATTGTATTCTATTTCTGAAATGTTGGAATTTTAATAATAATTATTTACTTGGAAATTCAAAGAATTTCTGATAATAAAAACTATATATTAATATTTTAACATTTAAATAGTAAAAAATGTAAATCGAGTTATTTGTATATTCTGGAAAAATGTTATGGGAAAAAGTCACAGACAACCTAATTTATGCCCTACTGTCAAGATTTATAAATTTAAGAGAAAGTTTAAAGTAAGTACATAGTATTTGGGAGCCTTATGATTATATCTAACACATTTTTTTTCACATTTGAGTAGAAATTGTTAAAATAGTCATGTAAACGTTATATGTAAAACTGTCATGGAAAAGTGAACGTTTGTAAAATGGTTGTGGAAGGTTTATGAAATTTTTGTGAAAAATTCATGCAAGGTGCTGGTTAGTGATAATGATCTAATGTGTCAACTTTCTCAGCATTACCTTACTATCCTCTGTGGCCCAGAATCTTCATGCAAACTTTGTCTGATATCGGCTTAATCTGCACATTTATAGTGCAAGAATTTCAGAATTATACCAAAAAGTTATTATTATTTTAATTTATTTATGTTTTTAATCAAATATATAATTGGTATTACAATCAGTTAATACACAATTCTCATACGTTAAGCCCTGTCCAGACTATTAAATTTTATTTGCCAAAAACATGTGACATGCCTAAATATGGTCATGATGACATCACATCATGACCATATATAGGCACATCATGACTATATATGGGCATATGACAGTTTTTTGTGAAAGAAAATTTGATAATCTGGACTGAGCTGAGAAAAAAATGTTATACACATTGTGAGTGCTTTAGAAATTATTAATGTGTTCCCTGCTATATTGTGTCCGTGTGAATGCACATCTGTATAAGATTTGTGCGCATCCCGTGTAATTTCGGTGTAAGCAATACTGACATCGCAGAAGCCTGTAACACTCCCGAGATAGGTTGTTCATGGGCCGCGACTTATCTTTCACTGTGTTGACCCGCTTATTTTATGCCGGGCACTCACTGCATCGTTTGACCATCGCAACGACTGTCGCAGGACGATTCCAATTAAGCACCCTGTATGCGCTAGACCTGGCGATGCCGTTTGCTGATTGTCAGTGGCAGTCTTAAAGAGGTTGTCATTAAAAATTATCCATTTCGTGCGCGTTGTCGAGTTTTTTTCTTTATAGACCTAATTTGGCTATTGCACGGCTTTACTGTCTGTTTATCAATTATACAGACTTTAACAAGCTTTGTATTCGCTCCTGTAGAAATTATGGTAACCGTACCCGTACATCTTCAGTGTATTATTTGGTCTTGTGTGATTTGGGTTTAATTAATTATTAGTAAGCAAATGGGCTCATTATTGTGGGAGGTGGATCCAATTTTTTTTTTTTTTTTGAGATTGGAAGCAAAGGATTTGGGTAGCATTTTTGGAATTTATTTTAATAAAAGGAAAATTCAAATCTTTTTCTGAGGAACATTTCACCCCTCCCTCTAGATTTGTTGCTTAACTTCTCTTTTAATGTCTGTAATGAATATTATTTTTACATTCAGATTATTAGTTTCCTCACTGGTCCATATATGGTCCATATATGCAAACTGGAAATGGTGCTCAATAATCTGATGGGTGTCCTAGGATTAAATATCCTAATTATTTAAAGTGAATGAATCTTAACAGTGTGAATAAAGTGTGTTTTGTGTGATTTAAATGTAATTATATTTGTTTTGTGTATATTCTTTTAACGGAAATATAATAAGTGTTTGCCATTTTCCTATTTATATGTGTCCATGTTTTTTAAACAATGTTATGTTTTGTTATTTTCATATGATTTCGTACTTTAACCCTAATATTTGTCATATATTTTTTTTTTTATGACTTTAGTATCATTTGGAATAATTTAATAATCATGATATTTTTGAGCCATTTTATTTTTGTAAATTATTCATTGTTATGAACATGAAATAAGTATCAAACTGATTCTGCCTTCAAGTGTTAAAATGAAAATTGTAGTAATGTAGTTAAATTCTGAATTGACCTAAGCTGGTATTACCTTCAGTGTGATTGGTTGTTTTTACTGGACACCTGGATTGTGAATGGTTGGTTTGAATGCGGTCACAACATGTGATTGGCTGATTTGATGTCTTCAGCTGAATCATGTTTCAAGTATCAATATTATTTTGTTTATCAAGGATATCCAAATAGTTGTAAATATGCAAATGACTACTAAGTAACAGGTGCCAACATAATTACATAGATCGGCCTGCCATGGGTGCCTCTAGAAATTTGCCAACAGGTTTTCCAACAAGACCAACAGTTGGCCTGAACCAAAGGGCCACCTATAACTTCAGTCAAGGTTGGAATTAAATCCCTGGTGGGCTTCATGGGGAGAGATTTTATGGTGTATGATAGCTCAAAATTGTCCCCTTACACAACATATGACCATCACAATTGATTGGATCAACAATTTTATCATTTTTGTTTGATGATCTTTGCTACTTAATCTCCCCCACTGGCATTGCAAGTGGTTAAATTATTGGGAGTCAACATACATTGATATATCAATAATTCTGAATACTGTAAATGTTCCAATAACTTCCTCTCACAAATAAGCGCCGCACCAGATGTGTGCTGCATCAGAACAGTCCTATGTGTACAATACATTATACTGTACCATTTATCTATAATAAATTATAAAGGCTGGTCTCAATTTAGTGCTGCAGTGCTTATTGGAGCATTTATAGTAAGTCTATGAAGTTTTTGTCTTTCGCTTTATTTAAATTTGACTAGATGTCCCTTTTTGGCTCACTATGGTGCTAAACACCTCCAAGTTACGTAGTTGGACAACTTTCTTCTTATATTCCAAAATAAATATTGCGCAATGCATTTTATGTCAACTTAGTTCTTTTCTGGATGTTTGTATGCCTTTTTTCGACAATGTGTTATGATACAATGTAATTAATATTTATGTACTTCAGTGTTAATACACAGTTGCCAAATTATGAATGAACTGAGTTGATAGGTTCTAAAATCCCTTGAGTAATATAATATGTAACAAATATTTTAAGAAATTGAGTTTTTGAAATGTGCTCAATTCGAAGAGAGTACAGACTCGTATACTCCCATTGACTTGAATACATCTCTGCTTGCATGCAGAGAAACTTTTTTTCTACTGATTAAATAGACTAAAGAAGGCGCTATACTCAGTCTCAAAACATTGTTGAAAATATATTTAACAGAATTTAAAAGGTGCCAGAAAACTTTGTTTTGATAGCAGCTTTACTATGGCTCTAATGGTAGAACATGTATAGTGTAAGATATATTATACACAAGTTTAATTATTGAGTGTTGTCTTTCCTCCATTATGTGATGACAGAAAACTCAACTTGCTATTTTTAGTTGTCACTAATTATTATAATATTGATGTAATTAGAAATTATGTGTAATATACAGCTTTCATATTTTTCAATATTAAAACCGTCTTTAATGAATTAAAATAAAATGTATTTAATGGCGTTATTTCATTATATAGTATTTCACAGGATAATAATAAAAACAGGGATAAGTTTTATATAATAACAATTTTCTTTGTCATTATTTTGTGTTAAATTTCACACAATATCTTTAAAACAGTTAATCATCATTTGGCAAAGTGGGAATTGGATGGGAAATTGGATTGGAATCTGCCATTTGGTAGTTGGCAATCTAGTGTGTATACAATATACAAATATTTACCCACCCACCCACTCACCCACCCACACACACAACATGTTTTACAGTTTATCTCTATTATCTCATAATTTATTTACAAAAATAGTATCTCTTCGGAGATCTGTCTTGTCAAATGCTTAATATAATGATAATAATAATGATGATGATGATAATAATAATAATAATAATAATATTAATAACAATATTATTGTTGCATTTATATAGCACATAATGCCGGAGCTTCTATGTGCTTAACATAAACAGAAAAGACCAAGGCCCTAAAACAAGAAATACTGGTAATCTAAAAAAAAAAACAATGGTAATGGTAATGGTAACTTTATGGTCAGTTGGTTAAGGTGTCTGCATAGACAGATGAAGGCCCCAGTTTTTAATCCCAGTTGAGGACTTTTTGTTCTTGCAGATTTCTGTTTAATGTTCAAAATATATATATAATTATAGCATTACTGCAAGATGGTTTGTCTCTGTTAAATCATGATTTATATACATTAGGTTATTCCCAGCTTGGTAGAGGCGTCATTTGAATTATATAAATACTGTGGTGTACAGTATTCATTTTTCATCTGAATTGAGGGGTAATCATACCGCCCTCTATACTTGCGTGCACTTTTGTACTGTACATCTCTCCCATAAATTAAAGTTTTAGAAGCATTTACCTCGTTAAATACTTTCATATTGATGCTGCTCGCGAGTCACTTCTACTAAAAGCGATCTTTATTGCACTCGAATCGGCCAATGAACTTAATTTCGTGCATGGTACACTTGAGAATAATTTTGTCTACATGACATGGGATTAATTTTACTTTAAATGATATTTTATATGCATATACTGTATGGTAATATCATATCGAACCAATTGATTTTTCGATGATTTAAGCTCGGTTTCCATGTAATCGCTCACCTTATCGGCGACAGTTAGCCGGAAGGTTGAACCTGGTTCGACCTTGCCGATTGCGTTGCAGCAGCCCCGATTGCGTCTACTACCCCGACCTGCAGCTAGCAATGGACCCTGATTCGTCTGCAACGCAATCGGCAAAGTTGAACCAGGTTGTCGCCGATAGGTTGAGTGATTCTAAGGAAACCGTTAACAGTGGTTTTACTAATATTTTTTTTTTTTTTTTTAGAAATAAGGCTAGTTTCCTTAAAATTGCTACTGTATTTTCAGTGCAAACGTTGTACCGTTCTGCGTAGGAGCAGTCCCCGACGCAATCGAGAAGAAGGCGCCCCGATTCGACCGACCAATCAGCATCAAGCTCCCGATCAAACTGTTCCCTGATTTCCACCAGGGAACAGTTAAATCATTTACAATCGCTACAATGTTTTCAGCGCAAATTATACTGTGTAGCAGTTCCTCGGCGCAATCGCGAACGCTTCCCTGTTCGACCGACCAATCAGCATCACTGAAAGCTGCTGGCGATAGCGTGTAGCAATAGTATGGAAACCAAGCTTCAGATTATTATAAGAAAACGCACTCCAATTAATGTCACGCTACTATTTGGAACGTGTAATATCAGTAAAGAAATTGAAACCAAAATTTCAACATTTTTACCAAAAATAAATAGGCCAGAATTTGGCCAATTGTTCTTACCAAAATTTAACAACTCCGGTACTAATTGTTTAATCACTTTACTTTCTTATGACATCGTGTATCCCGTGTGGTCTAGCGGTTAGGATTCGTGGTTTTCACCCACGCGGCCCGGGTTCAACTCCCGGCACGGGAAAGTTTTTTTCTTTTCCAGTTGAATTTTTTTTTCTATCAATCATATCGATCCGGTTTTAATGTGATAAAACAGGGGTTGCTTTTTCTGACCTTAATTTCCGGTGCTCCGGATTAATAATTTTTAATGCAATTCATAACGATTCAGATTTAACTTTATTGTCACAACATAAACATGTTTCCATGAAATTATTTTACCTTTGTTGCAAAGGGACACATTAAAAAATCAAAATAACTTGACTTTACTTCACTTTATTCGATTCATCAGGATAAAACTCCGACACAATCCATCTAAATCATTATATAAATATTGAAAAACAAAACAATTTGAGAAGTAAGATAGGGGTGCAGCCATCTCCTCCGCAAACGCCAGGGTGACAAGCGATTTTGAGTATGTAATGTGGTGTGGATAAGACACACTTAAATACAAATACCGTATTTATTTGAATAGACGCCCCTCTTTAATAAACGCCCCGGTTTGAATAAACTTCCCCGTCAGACACTCATTTGGAATAAACTCTTCCCCCGAATATACTCAGTTGGGAGAATAAACGCCCCCACCTACTAAATGACTATAAAGAAAATAACGAAAGGAACATCATTCTCGACACATATATTAATTTTATGCTCCAGCCTAGAATTACATTTTGTCTAACCATGGTTGGGATGGGAGGTTGGGATCAATAGGCCTAGACTTTATGATGTGCTAAGGGGCGTTTATTTAAGTAATTACTTACCAATTTTACACAAATGTAGGCCTAATAATAATAAATGAACATTATTTTTACAGAAAGTGCCATTTCCGACCAGTTAGAGGTGCCTGTTCTTAAGATTTGCTGCAAAACGTTGTAGGTTACGGACCATGGTAGGACTGAGACGAATTTTGACCTCTCTAGGGAACTTAAATCTCTCATCAAGAGTCTTGGACCCTCTCTGGGAACTGGGATCGTGGCACTTACATTTTCGTAATCATAAAATATAAAATTAAAGGATGATTCAACATGTTTTGTATTGCCGCATAAATTGGTGTGAAACACCAGTCAATTTAATACATACCGTAGGGCCTAATTGTTTTAAAGTCATTTTCGTACACTGTGAACAGCAGGAGAGAGAGAGAGAGCGTACTGGTACTGCTTAATTTTGGGGGCTGTAATACAAATTCTAGAATTTCCCATTTGCACAGTGGCCAGAAATTTTCCGACAGGGTGTCCGATATGTCCAACGGAAAGGCCCGAGCCAAAGGGCCGACGAAGCCTCGGCCGACGGCCCTGAATAAAAACTCCCTTGTTTTTATGGGCTTATTATGGTCGAAAATGTGCTTTTGCACCACAATTTTAGGGATTGGCAGTCAAAATACGTTATTTGGATAGGCAAATGGATTAGGTCTATTATTTTTTTAATTTTTTGTCCGACGACCTAGTCGTGTGTCGGATGACAGGTGGGTCAAGGCTAGTCCGAAAGAGGGGAAAATGTCCCCTGTCCCCAACAGGTGCCAACACTGCATAGGCCTATGAATATTAATATGGATCATCAGAAAATAACGTACACAACCGTGCTACCAACCCACGCGCACAAAAAATACAAGCAGTCATATTTGATATGATAGGATGTTCCATAAAATAAAATACTGTAACTACGGATAGGAATACAGGTCTCCCTCTACAGACTCCTCCAATTGAAAACCACCTACAATTAAAGACATTTTACTGTGGTCCCAAATCAACAAATTTCGTTTATCTTTATTATTCTAATTAGGCCTAGAGGCCAAAGCTGCTAAAGACCATGGGACCCTGTCCCAAAAGTGGTCTTTATTTGGAGGGAAACTTGTATATCAAAGTGATGACATGACTGACTTATAAAATACTGCTATGTAAAACCTATAAGGTTAAAAGTAGCCCAGCAAGGAAATATCACAAAGCGTACCGTAATAATAATCCTATATTACAATACAACATATTGCCTGCAACTCTTAAATTAAGTACGGTACAGTATAACGATAACATCTATAGCCATATCAAAGAGTCGTCAATGTTTCATAACAATGTTTCAAAGGTCTATTGACCACGGTTATTAAATCTTTGTAGATAAAATGAATAATTTTTCATCAGCATAGGCCCTAGGCCTATGTCAATTTTTATACAGTTCGCTCTATGATTCGAAACCACCTTTGGACCTGAATATTTGGGCTGCTCTCTCA